GGGGGAAAGGACATCGACCTGCATGATCACAGCAATTCAGAATCAATTGTTGGGGGGGGGGGGAAGGAAGGACATCAACCTGCAGAAAGCCGCAGACCGTGGAGATTCCACAGCAGAAAAAAATCTCTCACATAATCTCCAACTTACGCACAAGAAAAAAAAGAAGGAAGACAGCTGTTTTTCATAGGGCCACCAACATCCCCTCCCAAAACTCCATGTACGCTCGAGTTCTTCACATGACGGAAACAAGCCTACGAGTTCAACCTTCGTTTTTATGCATCTTTTCATTCTTCCTTTGTATTTTTTTGTTTTCTTTTTGGACCATTTCTCGATTTATGTGTGTCATCCTTGCACAGGGGCCATGCTAATCTTCTCTGTATCGTTCCAATTCTAACGGATGTCCCGAAGGACATTTCATTCGTTCTTTCTATCCATTTGCTCATCTTTTTTACTTTGCCTTTATTCCTTTCTCCGCTCCTTTCCCTTCTCTTTTTTTTTCCTTTCTCTGTATTCCTTTTCTTTTTCATACTTCTTTACCATCTTTTCAACCCCTTTTCCTGTCCGCCCTCCTTTTTCAGCTCTCTCTTTCGATCATTTTCCCCCATCGTGCCTGCACAACCCCAGACCACCTGTCCAGGAGTTATGCGTCTTCACCCAAATAGAACACCCGGTCATTACAGCCATGTTTGGTGCACTTTCAAGTCCAGATACAACTATAATAACCGGGCGTTCTATTCAGGTGAAGACGGTAGCAGGTCAGAACAGGCCTGGCGACAAAGTATCTGTTAAGCTCAGGGTAGATAATGTTTGGAATTAGAACATCATGGAGAAAGCGAATCCAAACAACCCTGTTGTCTTAGGGCATACTGAAAACACTGTTTTACTGAATCTGGTCGAAATGGTGGACGGATGGATGAAGGGAAAGTCCCAGTGTAAGCTCCTTTCCGGAGCAGTGAGGGGAAGAAAAAGGTGTCCAACAGGTTTGTTTTTTTTTTTGCGGGGGGGGGGGGGGGGGGRGGGGGGGAGCAGCGAGAGGAAGCGAAAGCGGGACAAGAAAGAGGAAAAGGAGGAACAGAAACAAGAAAAGAGCGACACAGCACAGACGAAAGAAGAGGGATGGAGACGCTCCGAGGCGAAAACAAAAAATAGAAATAAAGAAGAATAAGCACTAAACAGATGAAACAAGGCATTCTGCATAGACACAGCCAGACGTCACTCACTTTCTCCTTTGCTGCGTTCTCCAACGCACTTGCTGCAGCTTCCATACGGGATATGGAGTCCATAGGCGGCTCCGCTTCTACTCCTGATATCTCCCTGGCGCAGTCACAACAAGCACTCACCACAATTGAATCACACACTGTAGAAACTGTTTTCACACACTGTAGAAACTGTTTTCACACACAAACCCAAAGAACAGAGAGAACTCAGAACCTCCCAGCATGCAATCCTCCCATGCCATCCTCTGTTCGGTTCTGCCGACCCACCTCTACCCTTAGCGTGCGCTGATTCCCGTCAGATTAGCATGGAATTATAGCAAGCAAAATATGACCACAGGTCATTAGCAAGCTGCAATGTGCAAAACTTGGCAAAGTCCGGTATGCAATCAGATCTGCTAGCATGCAATGCAACAGCTTCAAAGGGAAAATATAAAACCACGGACTGGCCAATTTGCCAGACGATTCATTAAATTTGATTTCCAATCTCCCTTCTGTGACAGATCTGCAATCAGATCTACTACACGCTAAACCTGGAACAGAGCAGCATGCTACCCCACAACTTCAAATGGAAAATATAAAATCAGGGACCCTCCAATTCGCCGAACGATTAATTTTGATGTCCAAGCTCCCACCCTTCACTGACAGATTCAGAAAGACACGGCTTAAGTCCAAAGGGGGGATACTATGGGCCTCGCTCCAATACTCAACATTCTACATGCATTTGGACGCCTGTCTGGTGCAGAAAGGTGAAGTCCGACATTTTCAATGCATCCGCACGATTATAGGAACGTATAGATATATATAGAATGTTGTGTGGCGGGGCAAGGCCCTATGAAAAGGAAAAGGACTGAATGAAAAGAGAAGGCAGCAGGATTATGGGAAGTGAGTACAACAGGCACCCGGCACTCCTGCGCAACTTCCATACCAGGCCCGAATTTTGGCAGTGCCGTTTCCAGGTCTGAAGAGACTGTCCTGTTGTTTGCTCATTATGGGTATCACCCATAACCACATGACCACCTTCCGCTTATCACAAAATGCTCCTACGAAGCCCTTGGGTTATGGGCTGATGGGGGCAATTCTGCAATTGGTCCAGTTTGGTGGTTGTATTATGCTTATCTGAAAGCCAATAAATAGCACAGCAGGCTTGCGTCTTTCCATTGCAACCCTGAGGTGGTATTCTGCTTATCTGAGAGCCAATAGTACAGCAGGCTTAAGCCTTTCTATTACAACCCTGAGGCTGTATTCTGCTTATCCAAAAGCCAAAGGTGGCCATCGTGTGTGTATGCTTGCTCGATCCCATGCCTCTGTGTGTGTATGCTTGCTCGATCCCTATGACGCACTGGCGATGATGGGCAGACCATCGTGAAAGTGCATTAATTAGAGTTAAGAGTTAAGAGTCAGAAATACCTGGCATTGCCACTCCGGAATGGTCTGTCTCCTTCAGAGACAGAGACGCTGGACGCATTTCCCCTCCCCGATTTCTGATCTGAACCACTCAACTCCTTCGCCTGCAAAAATAGTGATCCGCATAACATCATGTGGCCATCGTCAGATTGACATCCAGGCAAACGCTGAGCAGAAGAACCTCAAATCGTCAATATCAAACTGCAACTGCGTACTAGCATTGAGCAGAATAACCTCGAATGTCAATATCAATATCAAACTGCAACTGCGTACTACAAATGGTGAACCTTAAAATGATAATAAAATATGACTCTCGTCATTGAACCGTGTACTGCATACAAGTGGTGTAACCTTGAAAAATGCTAATAAATACAAATCTTGTCTACCCACTTTTCCCAACTAACCTGAGTTAAGCCACAGGCTTGAATACGAACATCAGCATCATCCGCATCATCCTCATCATCCTCAGCACATCTCAGCACATCCTCATTTCGACCGTCAGTCTTCATCATTATCCTCAGCATCAAGCATACTCCCATTTACACTCTCCTATTCATTCTCTCTGTTCTATCTTCAGAGAAGATTTAGTCAAATCATTCAATCATTTCCACCGCAATGCCACTCTTTACGATCTACTCTATGGATGTTACAGCCAAAAAACAGAAGAAGAAAAAAAAAAAAAAAACCGGCTGCATTTTCATGACCTCATGGCCAAACATCATCATTTTCATGACCGTTATAGCCACTACCTCCTCCCAATTACACACACACACGACCACCATATGGACCTCGCTCCACTTCTCACCACCACATGCAGAAAAGACAAAAAACATGGCTGTATCTTCCCGTGTTCTGGCGTAAGATTCATTCTCATTTTGCACATTTAGCGAGTCGTGGCGGGAGGCCGTATGCCGGATGAGTTGTTGCTTTGCTCTGCTCCGACCACCATCGCATTTTTCATCATCGTCGGTTCTTTTGTTACCATCGGTCTGAAAACGTGAACCCCCCTTTCTTTAATCACAACCAGCTGATCAAAATGGGTTTACCAGCCGGGCCGCCCGGGTCCCGGGTGGCCAGCCCGTGCAAGGACCATGAAGGTCCCAGCAAAACAAAAAAATAAAACTGAAATTTCAAAAAAAAAAACTATGTTATGCAGAAAAATAAACTGAACAACTTTTGCCTCAGGGTCACATCGGAACTCTTCGCCAAATTTAGAATAAAAAAATAAATAAAAATAAGTCTTTTATTTTTATTTTTTCTATTTTTTTTGGCCCGGCCGGGCAAGTGACCCCGGGCCACTCTGATAGCCTAGGTTAGGACAAGACTCGAGATTATCCAAAAAAAGGGGGCCGGAAAAAAAAAACCATTTGCTTACTCATAACCAGGGTAATCATTTTTCTTTCATTTTTTCAATTTTCTTTTCTTCTATTAAAGGCACAAAGACAATAATCAAAACGGGTTTAGCCCGGGTCACCATGAGTTAACGCCGGGGAAAAACACACACACACACA